TTTGGTGAATTAGCCATTCAGTAATTGATTCTTTGGCAAATCGGCACACAGTGTATTGGCTTACTTCCCTTGTGCACCTCTCTGATCATTCTCATTGCAATCATGCATTGCAATGATTAATATTTTACTGGGTTCCCTCAAGACACCATGTCTTATTCACTTTTATCACCAAAATTTAGCACATTGTGTTTCCTTTTATGAAGGCTTAGAAATGTTTAGTAGTGATAAGCATAAATGGCCTTTACTATGCCTTACCCTAAATACTTTTCTTCCTATTAGACAGATACCAAGAGATTTTTGAATTTAAATGGATGTTAGCCAAGGAGAAAAATTTTCTTACACTTTTTACTCTTTATATCCGTATTTGTATACACAAAGCTTTGTAAATAATTTGCTTATGAATTATAGTCTGAGTCCTCATATCAAACTTTCAGAAATTACCCAAATATGACGCTTGAAATAAAATTGTACCATTTTGACTATTGTTTGGGGTAAAAATGACAATTATTGGACAATTGAAAATTTTTTGTTTACAAGCTATTTATCATAAAGACCTTTGTTATACTTGGATTTGCCTTGTATAGGTATTAATAAATTCCATTCCTCAAAAGGATTTGGGCAGAATGCTTCCCATATATGTAGTAAAGACTGCACATGTCTATTATTTGTTATTATCAACATGTATAAATGTTGACTTTTATCTGTCATATTAATTCACGGTTCACCACAAAGCCAAGACTACCTCAATAGCACTTAAAACATATTGCCTTGCCAAGGCACACTAAGGCTAGATCTGCTTCAAACTTACAGAGTCAAATTCCCACTCTACACCTACTGTTGTATAACATACCAATCCAAAACTGAATTTGTAGTCATGCCCCAGACTCATTCTTCCTCCTCAGCCCTCTTACTTCAGTGAATTGTCCTGACCTTCATTCCCATATTTCTCATTGCCACCACTCCCCATCCCCAAATCTTCTCAGGTAGATACATAAGGAAAAGACACAAAGAACAAAAGGGAGATGAAATATCAGCTTTGGTAGTAGTGACACCATAAACCCCAAAGAACAAGTCTTCCTAGTATCGAAGATGATGCTTAGGCCTGAGGCCCAAAGTATAGCATCATGCTTCTTCCATTTAACACTGAAGTCAACTTAGTATGGAGGGACCCCCCCCAAATAACCCACTCAGTCTCAGGCCTATGGACATGCTCTTTCCCAAGGGAGGCTTACTATCTGGACATGGGAAAAACCAAGACATGCCAGACCCGAAAAAAGGCAAGTCCAAAATGATTCTTAAAAAACAAAAAGTTGTGCCATATAAGCAGTGAATTTCAAACTCACTCAAAAGATAGACCTGCCCCAACCAGACTGTCAGATTCTGGCCTATCTCACCAATAAGGTTAGTCATTCCTCTGCCTGAGTTTAGGACACTAAGCCTTTGGGCAGAGAATCTATACGTGTACTATTCCCTCTCCCTCCTTGGAAAGGACACCAAAGGCCCCCTCTTTGGATCCTGAAAGAGCTGGGAAATAAGAATCCCACCTTACCACTCAACCATGTTCCCAGTCGTCGTTCCTCAGCATTCCCTATATTCTAATAATTACCAAATTCTGAAATTTTATCTCCTAGATATTTTTTCATATATCCTTTTCTATCTACCTCACCTTGATCCTAGACCCAGGCCTCATCATCCTTTGCCAACACTACAGTAACAATCTCCCAATTCCTCTCTAGTTTGTCTTGTCCTATCTCTAATCTCCACATGGCATCCATGGTGGTTATTCTGAAACTCAATTCGGATCATGTCACGCTCTGACAGCTTCCCCTTAACTACAGAATAAAGGCCAAGCTCTTTAAAATGACTTACAAAGCCCTTAATGACCTACCTACCTTTCCAAACTCATCTGCCCACTCCCCCATCCCATACTCATCCCAATGGTGTAAAAACACAGTAGTTTCTGATACTCACCATCCAGCTGCAAGTCTCCATGCCTTTGCTCATGTGAGTCCATCTGTCTGAAATACCCTTAACTCATTGTGTCATTTGGCTAACTCTGATTCAACCTTAAAGATTTGTTTAAGGCATTACTCCTCCAGTAAGCCTTCCCTAACCTTAACCTCGATTCTCTATCCTGCCCCCTCAAGCTGGGAAAGTTGCCCCTCTTCTGTGCTCTCATAACACTCTGTGAATAGCTCCATGATTACATTTACTGCCCTGTGCTGATATTTATTTCTGTCTGTCTTCCTATTGGGCAGGGCCATATCCCCAGTAACAAGAGGTTACCAGCACTCAATATAGATGTATGGATCTAAACTGAACCCTTTGCTCTTCCAAATTATTTATTTCTTCATTTATCCATTAATTCAATAATCACTTATTAATGAATCCCATGGGTATAGCCACTTCACTCACCCACTTTCATTTTGCTGGGCAGTATCCTGATTTCCCAGATGCCTTTGGGCCGTGTGGGAAACAATCGTTTCCCCCCTACACATTCCATAGCATACAAAGAACATTTGTTAACCACGTTCAAACTGTCATTTGTTTTTAAATTACCCATTTGAATCATTTTTATGTGCTTCTTATTCTGGTAACATAAATGACTGATTACACGCCATCTCTTTTATGGGTATAGGCTGACATAAGTGATGCTGTGTGACAGCCTAATACCCTGGCATTGGGAGACTGTTGCTCCCTCCTTGCTGGCTTCCGTCTGTGGGAAATGCAAATCCCAATGGCAGCCATCAGAATTAAATACATGTTGATAAATAATATTAGCTAACTAGCAGCAGATTATTATTTTACAGCAGGTCTTTGAAACCACTCAGACTCAGCCTGTCTCCTCCTGGTTCAGAAGGCTTCCTGCTCACGGGCTTTAGCTGCTAATGGGCACTGATTTTTTTTATTCAAGTTCATAAGGGATCAAGTCTAAAGAGCTTTAATGTAAATCTTATAGTTTCCAAAGAAAAGCTCAGAATAGAATAGGGAAAACTTTAAAGTGTGGTTGATTGCCAGTCTGTGGAAGTCAAAAGCAGGGCAGGCCAGCTAATGCAGGGGCACTGGGCTTGGGAGCTGAAGAATAAGGAAAGATGTGGGCTCTCTGGGCCTCTGGCAATGAGAATGCTCTGTCAAGAGCAGTGAGGGTGGGAAAAACCAGCCATGCAAAAACGAGCCATGCAAAAAGATGATGAACAAAGACCTCTATTTAGCTCTGTCTTCCTATACAATGAACCCATTCCTCAAAAAAAGAGTAAGATTTGTATAAACAACCTCATGAAGAGAACTTTAAAATAACAATAATAGCAATAAGCTAATTGGTTAATTTTGCATGCTGGTACCTGGATTAATAAGTACTCTACCCTAAAACCTTATGGAAATACATTAAGTACATACACATTATCATACCTCTATAAGGAATTAAAATGTTAAACAACCAGCCCAGAATGGACCATCCATCCAGAATAGGCACCAGCCATAAACACCAGTCAGGCCATCCTGGAGCACCAAGCTAAATATAAGCCCTGAATAAACACACAGTTGTACAAATAACAGGCATCTCTTCCGTCCCCTGTAAAGTTCCACACTAGATTCTGCTCTGGTTCCCTTCCCAAGCAACAAGAGTGATTAGTTGATAAAAATGTTAAAGGAAAATTTGAAGTTATTCTTGTGCATATTGGCTTTTTGCCTGAAGTTTAAAAAAATCACTTAAGCATTTCTTTTTTCCATTTTTAGCATCCTGTTTGTCCTCCCCTCTGTTTCCAGGCTCTGAAGGCCAGTGACTTCTCCACTCCCACTGCCCTGCAATCCAAAGGTCCCTCCTCAAAATAGAAACTGAGAGATCCCGAGTTGTGTCCTGGTCCCCGGCCTGAACATTCCTGTATTTCTCAGCCACCTCCCAGGCAGCTGGCACCCCAACATTTTCTCATTTCTTCCCCTCCAGACCTTGTTTCAAATCCAGCATTCCATTCCTAAGCTTTATACACTATTTGTTTCCTCACCATTCTGTCCTTTAGAAATTCTCCAGGGGGTGGTAGCAATTTTAGTATGTTCTGTTGCTCGTGACATTGAGCTGCAGCTCCTCACCCCGCTTTTGAATGGGAGCATTTATTACTTATCTCACATCAGTCATTCTCCTGGATGGTTTACTTTGGTCGCATTTAAACATTACAAGGCATTTTAACATTATTTTCACCTCTCAGGAAGCTAGGGGTCAGAAAAGCTAAGGAACTTAGCACCGATCACACAGCAAGTAAGCAGTAAAATCAGGGGTTGAACTCAGGAGACGGCTGACTCCAATCTTATATTCTTTCCTACTTTATGATGTGCTCTAAGATAAAAAAGAAAAAGTACTAATAAAACTGTCCAAAGTTAGGGGCCTTGGCCTTGATTTGACTGACACTTTTTTGACTCACAAAAATGTTTATGCATAGAAGAAGGCTGTGTCACCACTCTACGTCTTTACATTGCTTATAACCTCAAGACAACAGAGGCCCAAGCAGTCCTAAACTTTAGAAAAATTTTAACCAAAATAACTCTATTACTACTGGGGGGAAATAAGAGATTAATGTGACAGACTTCTAATGTATGTTGCCATTTATTCTAATCAATATTCCATTAGATATTCGGGTAAAATGGTAAGGTTAACAAACCCAAAGCATTATTTTGGGGGTTGAGGGGATTGTTTTCTTTAGAATTGGAGAGAAAGAAAATTAATTTACAGTCAGACATGGACCCCAGGGTAAAAAAGGGGGGTCTTGTTTTTGCTCAGGGTTGGTGCACCTGGGTGTGTTCATGTGCTTGTGCGTGTGCATGCATGTGTATGCACGTGTTGTGTTGAGAGGCAGTGGTGACATACTGGGATCCAGCTGCACCCAGGTTGGGAGGGCTCCTCCAGGCCTCTCAGCCCAAGGAAGGCATGGGCAAAGACTGACCTACTATCTGGAAGCCTGCCGATTAACTCTGAATTTTATATACTACTATGTTGTTTTCCACCTCAGAAATATTTACCAAAAAATCAGGGACCACGACCTCTTGGACAAAAGGAAAACAGTCACAGCACTGAAAGCAGGAGAAGACCGGGCCATTCTCCTGGGACTGGCCATGATGGTGTGCTCCATCATGATGTACTTTCTGCTGGGAATCACACTCCTGCGCTCATACATGCAGAGGTAATACCACTGGGTGGTTGGAACACTGCTGTGTCTGTCCTCCTCCCACTCCTACCCCTTCATTTAATCAACCCTAAGGTCATCTTCCTCACCTGATTTCCTAATAAGAACTTTGAGAAGAATCGGGTACATAATATTTTTTAATAACATTATCTAATAACAATAAATATAGCTGTATGTATAACCTGCCTACCATATGCCAGGGACTTTTCATACATTCCTTGTTTAACTCTCACAACTACTTTCTCAGGTAAGTGTGAATATGCTCATTATAAAAATGCCAAAACTGGGGCTTAAGAGAGAGATAATTTGCCCAGTGTCAGAGCTCTTTCATGGGCCACAGCTAAGATTCAAACCCACATCCTGCTAATTCCAGAGTCCCGATTGCTGCCACTGCATACCTCTGTCCATTCTCCATCCTCATCACTTTTCCTGTCCACCCCACCCTCCATCACCCTCCACATTAGTGGTTCTCAACTGCTCATTCCAGCTTCCTCAGAGATTAAAATGCTGATTCCCAGGCCCCACCAAGGTCAGGTTTAGTTGGTCCAGAATGGGACCCAGTCACCAGTATCTGTTAAAGTTCCCCAGGTGGTTCTAATATGCTGTCAAGGTTGGGAAACATTGCATCAACTTTTAAAAATAACAGATTCTGAACCCTTTTCATTTTAATATTTGTCCTAGGTTTACTGAATAGAAGGGAAGGCAAATAAATAGTGGGATAGCAGGTGTATTCCTCCCCCACCGCCCTCCCCTAGAAAGCCCTGTGATACATCCCATCTCCAGCATCTCTAGCTAACTGTCGTCTGTAAGTCGGGCTCTTTAAGCACAAGCGAGCCCCACCCTGCTACAACTAATGGGGGAATGTCTCACAGTGGTTCCGCTTAAAAAAAAAGAACACCCTTTCAGATGAAAAATTGAAGTTTCAATCCAAAAGCAAATCAAACCACTTTGTGGCAGTTGTTTCTCCATCTAAATTAATACTTTCATTTTAGAAGCAAAATCTGGCTGAAATACAGTAATTTGCTGAAATTAAGGCATCATCTTTCACATTTGTGGCTGCCCTGCTCTGTTTCTCTGATGGCCTTCAGCTGTTCTCACTCTCAATGAAAGCGCTGATGCCTCGGGCCCTGAGTGTTCGCTGATTCCAAACCTGCTTTCAGATCCTCACATCTGCTTAGAACCATCAAAGACTTTTTTCCTCACTATATAATCAAAATCTGACCATTCATGTTCCAGGAAAATACAAGTTGCCACACCAGAGGGGGTCAGGTCTAGTATCCTGCCTCTGAAATAAAACTTCAGGCATGTAAACAGGCACAGAGCTGTTAATACATGTCCAACAACAGAGGAAAGGGTATTTACCTGCAAAGAAAACATGTTGTTTTCTCATTACTATGGTAATCAGCTTACACCCAGAAGCAAACAATTGATTGCTAGTGTGTTACTTCCTAATTACAAATGTTAACCTTGATCATTATATTAAATGTATTTTAAAATGAAAAGTTGATCATCAAGCAGCTGGAACCTTTCCAAGTGAGAGGTCTCAGGGCACCCTTATTAACACATTGGTCTGCTTAGAAGGATTTCTTTTCCATTGTGTTCATGGGGAGGTGGCATGGCACAGCAGAATGAGCCTGGGCCTCAGAGAAACACAGGATTAGATGAGATAACGATTCCTATCACTTACTAGCTATGTGCCCTTGCATATCTCACCAGATTTCTCGGTTCACTCATCTTTAAAAGGAATTAATTCTCAACTTACAGGGTTGTTGGGAGGACAAAGGAAGATAATTTATGTAAAGCATCAATCAGGGTGAAAGGGATGCACTAAGTGATTAGTCTTGGTATGGTTAAAGGGTTGAGTTATCTTTTATCCCTTACTAGAAAGACCTTAAGGTATTATGTCACTGTCCTTCCACCTGTCCAGTTGAACCCCAAGCCTCTCTACTCCTTGCCCTCTTCCCTCCCCTTCTCCCTTTTACCCTGTTCACCTACAAACTGAGCTGGGGTGGGGGTGGGATGAAGAAAGCACAGAGTAGAGGTAAGGACTAGGGTGTGGAAAGAAGCTGCTTATGGTGTAGAAACACAGGTGGGTACAGGTTATGATTTTAATGCACGCCTTATGCTCACTAGTGAATTCAGTAGACAAAAAAAAAATTAACTTAAATCAAGCACTGGAGAATACCATATCCAATAGAATTCATTGAAAAAGTTCTCCCACGCCATAGTTTGTCTACATTATGTTGTAGTTTGTCTAGAGATGCTCTATTCAAAGGCATAAACGTTACACAGATAGATTGTATTATAGATTTGGGAAAGGCTCCTCAGATTCAGGGGCTGAAAAATGATCCCCTCTGATCACGCCTTCCTCTCCGTCAGCTGTTGGGCCTGTGTTTATTCCTGCCCCTTCTCTGTAGTGTGTGGACTGAAGAGTCTCAGTGCATCTTGCTGAATGCATCCATCACGGAGACATTTAACTGCTCCTTCAGCTGTGGTCCAGACTGCTGGAAACTCTCGCAGTACCCTTGTCTCCAGGTGTACGTAAACCTGACTTCTTCCGGGGAAAAGCTCCTTCTCTACCACACTGAAGAGACGATGAAAATCAATCAGAAGGTAGGAGCTTGGCGCACTGCATTTCACTGCATTTCAGTCACCCAGCTCATCTCTCTCTGAATCTCCCCTTTGCCAGCATCTCAGAGGAAAATACTGCCAGAAAGCAGGCCCTGGCTCTTTCATTCACAGAACTCACTATTTGCTTCTTGCCTAGGAAATTTTATTTTCTGTGCAAGTTGTGAACAAACCATTCTCCCAAATTGTGGTAGTGCAGATTTATCTTGACTTCCATTTGGAAGGGTAAATATATACTTATTTATACACAAATAGGCTGAGTCTTTCAAAGCAAGTATACAGCTTAGCGGTATATAAGCCAAAAACGAGGTATTTGACGTGTACCTGGGAGCCATGGGGTAAAATGACTCTGCTTTTCCATGGTCATTGTCACTTAGTTCTGGGACCTCGGGGATGTCATTTAACTTCTCTGAGCTTCAGGGTTCCTTTTCTCTAAAAAGATAATAATAAGTGGTCACCTTGCAAGGTCATTGTAAATATTAGAACTCAGTATGTAAAGTGTTGAGCAGAGCACAACACCTGGCACAGAAGAGACCTTCAACCCATGACCACAGTGTGTATGTGTGTCTTTCTTCATATATATTAGGTTCCTAGAGGCTGAATATGCCAGCACTGCTCTATTCAAGTCCACATGGTAGATGTTCAACAAATGTGTATTATATTAAAGTTTTATATCAAATATACACTTATAAGGTCAGGGATGACCAGTAAAGTGTCAGCAGAACCAAACTGCCATCATCAATTTTAAGTTAAATATATTGAGTTTTGGATTTATGTCCAGAATACTCTCATATGACAAGACAACTTGATGCCATTCTTCAATAGAACACTTGGCTCCCTACTAGGATATGTAGTGAGCCATCATGAACTCTAATCTGTCCTGCAAAAGCTTTTCTTTTCATTACAATTGTCAGCACTTAAGTGATATAGCTTATAGTTATTTTTTAAAATGCAGTAGCTTAGAGGTTCAATACTAGAACATAGATAATGAGTAGTATTTGTTTCTAATAAATTGACAAAAAGTAGAGAAATCCACCTTGCATTTTGGTCACAATAACTTAAAACAATTCTGGCAAATATCTCTGAGAACTCAACATAATGTATATTTCAGAGAATGTTGTTTGAAAATCTTTGCTCTTATTTCTTTCTTTTATAGTAGTTACAAATAATACCAGTAACCCTGTGCTGCAGATATAGAAAGCTTAACTCCCTCACAGTGTTTGTCTTTCAAGGTCTTCCCTCAAGTCAGATTTTTAAATCAAAATTGACCTGTACTGACGAATGCCTATAAAACTCTCAAATCTCCAAGAAATTGGAAAGTGGCCAACTTAAATAGGCATCAAAAAGTGAAACATATTTCCATTTCCTCGTTTTGACATTTATCACTACATCCCTGTGAATGCATTATTTAGGTTATAAACAGGGAGTCAAGTTACCAATAAAAGTTCCAGTTATGTATTCAGAACCAGTAGCTTGTCTGCTTTCAGCATGGTAGTAGGTCATCATTTGGTTTATTTGCCTCACTACCTTGTTTTTAAATGTAAATTATGACACACATACAGAAGCATGCATGAAGTGAAAAAGTACAGCTCAAGTATATGTTACAAAGAGATTCTGTCATGTAACCACCACACAGGTAAAGAAAGAAAACATTTCCTGCACCCCAAAAACTCCCTTCATGCCCACTTCCAATGATTCTGCTCCTTGCCAAAGATAACAACCATTCTGACTGTTGTGGCAATTACTTTCTTATTTTTCTTTGTAGTTTTGTCACCTAAGCATATATCCCTAAACATTATATTTTAGTTTTGCCTCATTTTTAAACATTATATAAGTGGAATCAAACAAAATATTTTCCTTTCTTTCTAGCTTCCTTCACACAACAATAGTATGTTTGTTGGATTCATTCCATTTGGTTGTAGTTCATTCATTTTCATTACTGTATTATATTCCATTGTATGACTATACCAGTTTACTTATTCATTTTAGTGGTGATGGACATTTTGAGTTATCTATAGTTTGGAGCTATTATAAATAATTCTGCCATGGTCATTCCCAGATATATCTCTTGGTGCACAAGCACACACACAGCTGTCAAGTATAAGTCTGAGAATGGAATATCTAGATCATAAGATATTCATATCTTGAAGCTTAGTAGATAATGCCAAATGATTTGCCAAAGTGCCTATTCTAATTTATATTATCACACCCTATGGGTATGAGAGTTCTTCTTGCTTAAATCTTCAACACTTGGTAACATCTATAATTTTAATTTTAGCTAATAAAATGAGATTTCCTGGTGGTTCTGATGGCTAATGTTGCCAAGTATCTTTTCCTTTATTTATTTGGCCATTTGGATATCCTCTTTTGTGCAATGTCTGTTCAAGTGCCTTGCCCACTTCTATATTGAATTATTTCATCTTTATATTCATCATAGGAATTCTTTGAATACAAACCTTTGTTGGCTATATGTGTTCCAAGTATCATCTTTTGTTAGATGGCCTTTTTACTCTCTGAGTGAAGCCTTTCAATAAAAGAAATTTCAAATTTCTATGCAGCCAAATTTTGTTAATCTTTTCCTTTGTGTTAGTGCTTTTGTTGTTCTGTTTAAAAAGTCTTTACCTACGCCAATGTCATAAAATTTTTGTTCTAAATTATCTTCTAGATACATTATTTCACATATAGAATACAATCTGGAGGATACTTGAGGTCAGGAATTTGAGACCAGCCTGAGCAAGAGTGAGACCCCGTCTCTACTAAAAATAGAAAGAAATTAGCTGGACAACTAAAAATATATAGAAAAAATTAGCCGGGCATGGTGGCACATGCCTATAGTCCCAGCTACTTGGGAGGCTGAGGCAGGAGGATCGCTTGAGCCCAGGAGTTCGAGGTTGCTGTGAGCTAGGCTAATGCCACAGCACTCTAGCCCGGGCAACAGAGTGAGATTCTGTCTCAAGAAAAAAAGGAGGGGGGCCATGAGCAAGGAATAGAATGATCTGTGACCCATAGGAAAGGTCAGGGTTGTATATTCAGCACTAGTTTACCCAAAATGGACTTTAAGCAAGTAAAAGTTCACCCTGAAAAGAGTAAAGAAAAAAACAGGAGAAGGACATGTCCTGAAATTTAATACTTAACATCCTCATAATTAGCATTTTAAATTTGGAGATATTTATTAGACATTTGCTGAAACTGCCTATGAACCATAGATGCAGAAATGCTTTGTGACTGGCAAAGTTTAGTCACTCCTCACCAAGGCTGAATTCTGGGACAACTGAGGGCACCTTTTTACAGAAGTGAAAGGAAGAATGTGCCCAAAAGAAGCTTACACTGAGCATCAAGACAAAAAGCAGGGAGAAGGAGCCTATTCCTCTCCAGCAGGGGAGAAAGAGGACCGTGGCGAGGGCTCCAGATCAGATTACCTGACTCACTGTAGGACTAACTGGATACAACAGAAAACTTGTGGCTGCATGGTTTAAGCTACTCTGGGTATTGACTAATTCCAAGGCTCTAGAAAGCTTCTATCTCCATAGTGGTTTTCCTAGATCTTTTAAGTTCCTTCTCTATTCCAAATCAAGCAGAAATGCCATAATAGATGTGAGAGCTCTGGGCAAATACAGGAAAGGAAAATCTCACTCTAGACAGACCTTTGTCTCAACACTGTAAGAAATGGTCATGTGTAGCAGAATGTGAATTCTGTTTTCCTACTCCTCTACTAAATATTAATACTTCAAACAGTCCACTTGCCAAAATCAAGCAGATACTAGAAATGCAAACTAAACAAATCTAAACTAAGTTTTGTGAGATTCACGTTTTTAAAAATGATAGTAAGGAGCAGGAAACCTCAAAAGGAGAAAGAAACAATGAATTTACCCTCTCAACTCCTTTGTTCATCACTAATGTTTAAAAAACTCAAAAAGTTCAAAATATACTTATGAGCCAGAGTAATTCAAGGCTACCAGCTGGTGATCTCTATATTCTTTGAACTTGGGAATTATGTCTTATGCTCCAGCACAAAACACAAAATCTGGCATATTGTATATGGTTAATAAATATTTACTGTTTGAGAACACCAGAAAAAGTTCCATCTAACTTTGGAACTAAGAATATTTATGTTTCACATGAGCAGTGTTTTTTGTTTGTTTGTTTGTTTGTTTGTGGTTTGTTTGTTTACCTCAGGGGCATTGTGGAATAGGATGCCCAAGCTACTAAAAAGTTCTTACGGCAAATTTGTGCCCTACCTTTGTGGTGGAACAGTCTTTACTGAAAGCCTTTTTAGCTACATTTCTATCCCATTTTATCACCCACATTTGTTTTCTATTCTCTTTGTGTTTCTCTCTATCATATATTGTTTATGTTTTTGACACCTATATCTAACATGCTATCTGGCATACTGGAGATAATAAATATTGATTGTATTTCATTAAACTTTTAGCCTCTTTCTGAAATAAGACACTTCCCTTTGTTATAAAAGAGCAAATAAAGAACAAATCCTTCCCTTGAAGTGATCTTGAAAAATTGATAGCTCCCTTCCTGCCATCGCAAGAAAAAGAGGCTGGCAGTGAGGTTATTCAGCCAAACATCCTCCTACTGTCCCCTCTCCTCCCCATGTCTTTTATTTTTAGGATGAAGGCATGTCACTCTGCTTCACACATGCATAGCAAAGCATGTCTAAATAAAGCCCAACAGGTAGTTTCTCAAAACTTCTGTCCATCATGAGAATAAAAATAACTCTGTTGAATAAGATTTTGGAAGTTAGGCTAAGAAAAGATTTCCAGTGAATTCCCAAAGAATTGGAGAGAAGATGCAGTTTCTGGACCTTCATTGTCCAAATAAGGAAAAAGATGGTGAGGAGACATTGACAGGACCCAGGTTGCTTCAGCTGGGAGAGCAAAGGGCGTGTCCCTGGGTCTGTCTCTATGATTTTCGATACTAAAAAGAAGTGTCCTTCCTTCAAGAATTTAAGCAATAAGGTTTATGAACAAAACCCAGAATTAAGAAGAGAGATATGAGTCAAATCTTCCATTGAATGTCTGCCTTAGAGAGTTGGTAGGTTTATATACTTGTAAATTAAGGCACAAAAGAAAGAGAATGACCTATAGCCATGGTAAAAATATTAGCACAGTTTGAGCATTGCTTAAGTGTATTGTGTATATAAAATTATCATTCATAGTTTCCTTTGTGTTATGTATCACGCAAAACCTAAAAGTTAAATCTTCCCTATCCCATACCTCTTACTAAAAAAAAAAAAGAAAGAAATGATCTAAAAGTGCTTGCATCTTTGTCTTTTCAATCTACATTACATTATTCCAACTAAGTATAGAGCCCACTTAGTAAAGTTTTATTTGTTGCAATGCATCTATGTATTCTAATCACATAAAATTGTCTTCCAAAAACATGATAAAATCATAAAATAACTAAATCTTCACTCCAAATTCATACCAGCTTCAGGAACATGCACATGGCCATAGTTTGAGCTCCAGAAACAGGTACATAGAATCCTAATGTAGATTCAACATAATGCAAATCCCCTAGGACAAAAAGGCAAGGAACATGAGATAAAATGCATTGAATAGGGCTGCCCCTGTGAAACCTATATAGCTAGTAATTTTGCCTTTCTTAGAGATTTCATAGTTTAGTATGTGGCACTTGATTAAAGACTTTAGAGGATAAAGTGGACAAATGTGATACTCAATAAAAAACCATGTTAATGAAACTTTATTGAGGCTTTATGAAAATTCATCATTTAATCCCCTCAAAAACCCTGCCAGGAAGGCTCTATTAACCCAATTATATAGATAAGGAAATTGATTCTAAGGGTACAGGTAACTTGACTACACAGTAACCAGATTTCCTACACATAAGTCAAGCAGGAGCTTGCTATACATACTGCCTCCTACCTTCATTAGCACAAAAGGACCCACCATAAAAGTGTGACAAAAGTTTTCAAGAGCAGTAACAGTCTAGTAGATGACTGATTGATATTTGGTAGAATTTTCAGGAGCAGTAACAGTCTAGTGAGAGTAACAGTTTGCATGTATATTAGAAAGTGACAGGTGACAAGATCAGGAAGAGCTAAAAACACCAGAGCAAAGGATCTTTCTCCACTGGCATCTACCTGTGCCACTGGCCCTAAGTACCCAAGTCCAATCATGTATGGAATATGCCTCATCTGGCCAACCCAAATGCACACATTTCAGACACTGATGAGTACAGCAAGGTATTACAACCTTGCTAGATGGTCTCAAAGGTAGTTTATATCTTGGGGGTTTATTTTTGCAAGAATCGTGGCTATTAAAAGAATTATTACCATTTGGCTGACAAATTTTTCTTCAAAATAAATTTTAAAAGCTGAATCAATTGACAAGAACATAAGAAAAGAAAAAACTCCATTTTTAATGAAATGCCGTTTTTACTGAGATCATTTCAATAACAGTACTGCTTAGCCACTGAAACTGCTACTGAAACTATCTTTGCACAAAAACATACAGATACCTGATGCATTTGTAATCTAAATTTGCTTAGCTTGAATTCAACCACAAATGTCTTGTTTGTGATTTAGTTTAATGCTTTGCTTCAAAAAAGTTTTTATAAAAATGTAAAGACATGATCTGAGCATCTTTGAAGAAGGACAAAAACAAAGATATTCCTTACTGCCTTGCACCTTTTTGATCCAGAGGAATACAACTGGTAGGAAATTTGCTTCATGGCAGTCAGTGGCCCAACTTCACACTAAGTTGTAACTCACTGAGAAATTCTGCTTTCTTGGAAATACTTAAGACTGTTAATGCTATACTAGTACCAACTGTCTGCTGTACTCATATGTATATAAGTGTATTCACATTTATTCTTACCTTGTTAAATTTCAAGGTGCCAACCATACCTTACTTGAAGAACATCATTTTAAGCATGGTTTACAATAAATTCTAGCATGTTCATCCTCTATCTTTGACTAATCAAAAAACCTTCCTGCTGTTTATAGTCAATTAACTCAATAATTACAGCTAGACAAAAAAAAAAAAATACAAGGTGCCTATATGCCCATTAATAAAGTCAGAGGAAAGAATAATCCAAATATACTCCATTAGCTAAAACTCATTTAAAAATATTTTCTTCCAGCCGGGCGCGGTGGCTCACGCTTGTAATCCTAGCACTCTGGGAGGCCGAGGCGGGCGGATTGCTCAAGGTCAGGAGTTCAAAACCAGCCTGAGCGAGACCCCGTCTCTACTATAAAAATAGAAAGAAATTAATTGGCCAACTAATATATATATATAAAAAATTAGCCGGGTATGGTGGCTCGTGCCTGTAGTCCCAGCAACTCGGGAGGCTGAGACAGCAGGATTGCTTGAGCCCAGGAGATTGAGGTTGCTGTGAGCTAGGCTGACGCCACGGCACTCACTCTAGCCTAGGCAAGAAAGCGAGACTCTGTCTCAAAAAAAAAAAAAAAAATATTTTCTTCCTGTGAAATCTGCAGGTCTAAACTTTTCTCAAATTCCAGGATGTATTACCCCATAACTCATATCAGTGTACCTCAGAGTTCACCCGTAGCCCACCTCATCTGTGTCTCATGTTGGTTGTGTACCGCACAAGCCTAAGGGTACCAGTCACCTTATAAAAGTCATAGATGTAAATATTTATAATCACAATTTATAAATTGGTAAAGGACAGTAAGTTACAGGGTTTTTTTCATAAAATTAGTTTATTAGGATAATTTTCCAACCAAAAATAACAGTGTTTTGAAGAGGGGGCACAGTTTTCTAATTCATACTAAAACACTGCACAGATTAGTGATCCTGTCAGAAACCAACTTAATTCAGATAAATAAGTTAAATTCATAATTTGATAATATATATATAATAAAGAGAAGGGAACCATTGTCTTTCTGTTGGGGGGTTCTTACCATAGAGAGGGGAAAGAGTTGAGCAAGAACTCTCATCTCCCAGAAAAATGACATAAACCACTTTTTTCCCAACTTTTTAAAAAATTAGACTCATTGTTATATCAGTTTTGTCACTGCACATTTATAGACCAAGGAAAAAGGGTCATAGAGATTTCCTCAGAGAACACTTTTTAAATTAGAAAAAATGTAGTCAAATATATCTAATACATAATAAAAAGAAAAACTACAAAGAAGTTATTTAATTTCATCCATATCCAGAGAAGAGAGAAAGAGAAGGGGAAAGAGGACAGAAAGAGAGAACAGAGAGGAAAATATAAACGGATGGGGCTGGAGGAAGAGCAAGGAAAATAAAGAGAGATACAAACGGAAAAAGTCAAAAGATGTAAATGTGTAGAAAGACAGAGAGGAGAGACATGTAGAAGAAACAGCAAGAAAGAAAGGAGAGGTGAAAAGATCAAAGGAAAGTATTGTTACCTTCTCAGGTGAGTGGCAATTGAAGAATAAATTGATTTGATTCTGTTTTATTTTTCCTTGGTTTATAGGAAAAGTTACTTTGGCATGCTAAATGACCCACTCATTACAGCTCTTAAACTATTCAATATCCTTACTCTTCTCAAGTTTCCTTTTTCAGGAATTCACCAGAGAAGTAGCTATTTTCTTGAATGCAGTAAAAAAGTAACCAATTAAAAAGAAGCCAAGCCAATAAAAGATAAGAGTTACCTTGGGAGAACTGGTAACTTTTGATATCACATGGACAGATGGGGACAGACAAAAGATGGAAAAGTTGACACTCTGATTCCTTAAACAATTGTGTTCAACAGGGAATAATTCAAACCCACCACATATAGCAACGGCAAAAAGAATTCACTGGGAGTCATTAAATTTTTTTATGTGTACAATGTGGAATGAGTAAATCAATCTAATTAACATATCCATCATTTGATTTTAATCAATATTTAAATAATGTATGGGTGAGCTATCAGTGAACACAAATATCATGGTTATTTCATAGATCACTGAATTGGCCACAATACCCCGCCCCTTCTAGTGTCAGACGCACACGCAGAGTATCTCTACCAACAGTTTGTCTCATTCTCCACAGTGCTCCTATATACCTAAATGTGGAAAAAACTTCGAAGAATCTATGTCCATGGTGAATGTTGTCATGGAAAACTTCAGGAAGTACCAACACTTCTCCTGCTATTCTGACCCGGAAGGAAACCAGAAGAGCGTCATCCTAACCAAACTCTACAGTTCCAACGTGCTGTTCCATTCACTCTTCTGGCCAACATGTATGATGGCTGGGGGCGTGGCAATCGTTGCCATGGTGAAACTCACACAGTACCTCTCCCTGCTCTGTGAGAGAATCCAACGGATCAATAGATAAAAACAAAAGTGGATGAAATAATTTTCTTTAAAGCTCAAATACTGTTTTCTTTCATTCTTCACCAAAGAACCTTAAGTTTGTAATGTGCAGTCTATTGTCAGTTCCTTAATATATTCTTATACATAGAGCAATAACGCAAAAGCTGTTCTATATGCAAACATGATGTCTTTATCATTCAGGAGAAGAAGTAACCGTTTTGTGTTGGTTGGCTGTTTTCATAATCTTATTTCAATGCTGGAACTAGTACTTCCTTCTCTCATTCCGCCAAAATAGGGCTCAGTTATTCATTTGCCAAGCTTTGTGGAAGAATGTAGATAATATTAATGTGATAAAGTCTGTATTCTAAGTTGTCAGATCTCTTGAAGACAATATTTTTTATCATTCATTGTTTACTAAAGCTACAGCCAAAAATATTTTTTCTTTTCCTATTCTGAACTGAGCCCTATAGCAAGTGAAGGGACCAGATTTCCTAATTAAAGGGTGTTAAGCATTTTCCTTGTATTTTTACCACATTACTGTAAAAAAAAAAAAATAGAGGAAACCCAGCCAGCTACTTTTCTTTCATTACTTTTTATTCATAACTTTAGATTTTTTAACTAATTTCCAAAAAAAAAAAGCTGTTTTCATTAGCCAATTCTATATTTTCTTCATGTGATTTAAGTAGAAAATGAACAGAGCCCCTTTTCCGTTTAAGACCCTGCTACTGTGTAAAGAAATGATATTTATAAGGAGTTTCATTACCTATGAACTGACTGAATGTTGGTAGGTGCTCCATCACAACCCAGGATTTCCTGCGTTACTAAGATATTTGTGTGGAACTCTTTCTTTCATTTCAGCTGAACTGTTAGATGGCAAAATTAAGATGCTCCTTGCTGGTAAAAGCTGGTGAACTTGTTTCAATGGGTAAATCTGTTGTGGCAAATTAACATATTGAAATATTGCTCTTTGGGAATTTATGTTTAAGTTAATGAATGTGTAGTCTCTCCTTCTGACAAGTGTTCCCTATTGAGATCTTAAAGCTACGTGCATAGAATATTTGTCTCCTCTACATGTTTTATTTTTCTATTTACAATTCCCTTTTTTGTTGTTATATTTTATACACAAAATAGACCTTTTTTCTAACACACATTTGAAATGAATAACAGATTTAAAGGAAGACTTTGTTCACATTGCTATTTACTTATTGTGCTTAGGGGGAAAATGAGGGATTGGTTTTAAATATAAACATTCCATCTTTTATTTAATATCAATATCAAGAGAAGACAAACATCTATCTTTCTCATATATATTTAAGTACCTTTTTGTAATGTAGTATCAAAGTTTTTTAGGTATTGCAAAATTTTACAAATCACTTGTGGAATGAATGGCAAAACTAATCTGATGAAGTGGAAATTATCCTGCAATATTGTAATTCATTGTTTGAATTTTCATAAGCAAATAAATCCATAGGGTGTCAGGACTTCAAATGTGTAATTACGTTTTTAAAAAAAAAAATTATTAAATCACAAAATTTGAATACTTCTTGCATTCTGAGCTGACAAGCCCAGGGTAGTCTTAAACCTTGTAATTCACTATCTTTAAAGGTATTTTAAGTGTGATTATAAAGCAAGTTCCTTTTTTAAAAACAAATACATACATACAATGTTGTGAACATTTGAAAAATGTTATAGAAAACTTTATTTCTATTTCACCTTAAAAACATAAATTCTGAAAATAATACAGAAATCTTCTGGACTATGGAGCTGAAAATTTATAATCTTTAATGTTCCTTGAGCTTCCCTTCAAGTGATCCAAGAGCAAAGTATATATGAGTGAAACTATTAGATGAGTTATTCTTTAAATTTTCCTCTGGATTTGTATTAAGAATTCCCAAATTATGTTTTAGATAAGAATCTAGAAATTTCAAAATAATGACATGAAAAAGTGATTAGTGCCTTCTTGAATCCTAATATGCAACAGTCATTTCAAGTAATTTAGATTGTATACACAATTAATGCTTATTAATAAAAAAGAAAGATTTGGGACTAATAATAATGTTTTAAATGCTTTCACTCATTAGCTAATTTAATGTTTACAGCAACCCTACTGGAGGAAGCACTATTATTATCTATCTTATCCTACAGATAAGAATGTTGAAGCTCAGAGATGTTAAATAACTTCCCTGAGGTAACACAGATGGATGGTGGGAAGCTAGAGCTGAGAAAATAGTCTGTAGAGTTCCTGTTATGGTAACCATTTCCATGACTTTGGGATCTTTTAGGTAACACTGGGAGGTTCTGAGGTTTGGAAAAAATTGTGTGGGTAAAGGTGAAAGAGCATTGACCTGGAAGTCAAAAGACTTTGATGGAGATATGGTGATTGGTGGCTTTAAGCCTCCTAATTAGTCTCGTGTCTTCTTTACCTGTAAAATTAGTGGGTAAGGCCAGCTGATGACCAAAGTCTCTTTTAACACTAACATTCCATCCTAGATGTGTGGAAAGAAGAATGAATACCATTCTCCAATCTTCAGAGCACAGGTCTGATTTTTAAATAGGATCTGTATGTATTAATCTATGGATTAACAAACAACCCCCCTGCTGATATTCCCAATAAGGCACTTGCCTTTTTAGAGCCCAAAGCTTTATTTACATCTGCCAGAAACAGAGCTCTGAATCGCCACATTCTTCAACATGAATGACTTCCCCAAATGATATAAATGTCTGTATTTCCAAATCACTTTCATTATCCAATTGGCACATCCTATCTAAAACTTTATTGATTTCAGATTCCCTAAGTTGCAATTGTATTAAAACCCAGAAATGGTAAATGCACCAATGATTGCTTGCAAATAGCTATAATAAAATACATGATTCTGTTGAAAGCCACTGTCAAAATGCCAGCTGATGGTATAGGCAATCATAAAATCCCTCCTATGTAGATCACATGACATTTAGAGTTCCAGCAGGTTACCCTTTTCCTATTGCTGTGAATGACCAAAAAATGATTATACATGGCATTTATAAAACAAATATTATTATCAGTATTGCAAGCCATAAACATCTTACCACATTTCTGCAGGTGAAACATCTTGACACCATAATCATTACATTGGCATTAACAGAGAGGCCTATGGAATAGCAAAATAATATGAGTAATAAACTGAAATGAGTTTAAACAATAATTTCAAAGGAATGATTAGCTATAACAGAATCATAGTTAAATTTGCCCCTTCCTCCACCAAAATACTGAAATGAACAATGTTCAAGCAAGTAGGGGAGTTCTCTTTGTCCTAGTGGGGAAATGGGAATGATTAAAGGTTAGACACATTATTCCTTCTCTTCTGAACTTCTACTTTTTTACCTCTCCCCTTGTAAAACAATTTGGGAAGAACAATCTTACAGTTCTACAATAACTACTCCAAAGTATGTACTATGTGGGAAATTTGACTCAAGGAACAATGCTTCAGGACTCATCTGAAAAACTGGTCAGCATGATGTGAACAGCAGGATTGAACAAACAACTAAGCTGAATCTATTCCATCTTTTCACATTCAAAACAACTGTAAGGAATAATACAAATTACACATCACTGCCTTTTTTCTCAAGAATGACTTGATGATGTAACAGAAGGACTGAAACAACACATGTGAAAAAAATAGAGAACAACAATTAGGTCTCTAATCTGCACAGATGGGGATAATATCTACAAAGAGTTTGTATGAGGCTTAACTGGGATATGCATGTAAAATGTCTAGCACTTTATATAGCATATACTAGATGCTTTCCCAATGGTAATTATCACTATTAATAATAAAATGTATAAGTAGTATAACCACTATTAATATATAATCTCTTGGAACTAGAATAGCTCTAAAATGTCATTTTACCCAAAACTCACACCAACGCATAAATCCCTTTTACAAAATCCTTAGCAGAGATCATCTATTGATAGGTATGGTTACTACGTGAACCCTACCGGTGATAGAATAGGTCACCATTTAATGCTAGAAAACTTTCCTGATAACAAGTTGAAATCTGCCTCCCTGTTATATCTACCCATCAAATCTATACCAAATAAAAACAATCCTCCTGTCCTGACTTATTTTACTAGTGTTATTTTACCGAAATGGAGGAGGGAATAGGGAAAGAGCAACTTCCATTTGTTTAGAATATAAGACCATGGAAAATAACCCATTCAACCAGAATTATGACATAAAGAGAAATTTGTAAAGGTAGCACACATGACATCAACTTTAAAACGTAGGAATATATCCCTTAGAACTGAATGTTCATGTATGTATTAAATCAATGAGCTAGCTAAATCCTTCAGGATGCCCATGTTAATTTTAATCCTGCACCACCTCTCAAGTATGATTTGGCCTTCTGAAAAGTAACACTGCCTGAAACTCTACATTATGTTCTTATGCCACTTTATGACAACCAAATGACCATTACTTAAGAACATTGCTGTGTTCCTAACAAAATGTTGCTACAATTGTCATGGGTTTGTCTCAGCTGAGGTACCATTCATTCTCCAGTGCAATGCCAAGGAATTGGAAGAAAATGTCAATCTGTGAATTCCAATTGTAACTTTGTGAATAAGAGTTGCATTTAGGTAGGGGGAAAAATTGTTCTCTCGAACAATGTAATCACTTAATTAGGGCCTCCAGAACGATTCTTTAACCTAGTTCTTCTAAAACAAATGTAATTCCCAATCCCTTGCAAGTTATAATATCAGGACCATGGAGAAGGCTTCAAAGTCCTCTCTATACAATTCCATCAACTACTACATTAGCATTACCAGCAATTTCTTTAGATAAAAGTCACAACTTCTCTTCATAAAAACTTCTTTCTCTCTCTCTCCCTCTCTCTCCCTGTCCCCTTTAGCTCTTTTTCTTCTTTTGATTGCATTCTTAATTCTCCACATACCAGCAAAGATGATGCCTAGCACCTATATGTTCAAAAAACTCCTATGTTTATCATCACAGAAAAAAAAAAAAAAAGCCCAGTGTTAATATCAGACCTCGAAAAAGCAAGTTCTCTTTGTATCACTTGTCCACTACTGAGCCTACCAGTATGGCCCAAGGGAATGGTAAACTCCTATGCTGTATAGCAACTCCATGCTGTATAGCATGGCACTACATACCCACCTCTGTAACGGCAGAGGCAGGGCATGTGATTTGCAGCCCCACTAGGTGGGAGTCAGATAATTCCCCAAAGGAAAATTGGTATACGGTAAAGAACAGAGGAAGAGGTACTGGGAAGGTGAAAAACAGCAGATGTCCACTACAGGCAACTTGGACAAGCTCAGCACAGATTTTAACTGAAGGATAAAAAAAGTACCACATATATGGGGAGGAAAACAAGTATTATTTGTGAGGGTAAATGAGTAAAAAGAGCCAGTGCTCAGAATTTACTTTGCATTTTTCTAAGACTCCCATAGTAATTTTGTACAATTTAAAAGGGGAGAAAAAGCACTTCTGAACTTCACTAAATAAGAGATACATAAATGTTACCAAAATTAGAAATATTTAGCAAAAGACAAGAAGTTTCCTTAGAGAAAGGTGGTAGAAACAACTGATATCACAATTAAAAGAAAGAGTTGATAGAAAACAGAAACTAGTTAAAAAGAAGGGAAAGAAGTGATAATATATGTGGAAAGAAGATTGGGAATTTTAAAAATCTAATGTAAGGAACTATTGCTATTCATCAGATACTATGGAGTTCTTTGTATTAAGGCCCTTACCCTGTGGGGTGGAGGAATACCTAATGGATCTAGCACAGACTAAATCGCCCCCATTCCCTGCTGATTTTTTAGTAGATTAACTTTAAAAGTATGTGAAAGAATGAGTTCTCCTTCTCCTGACCGCCCAGGTTCTTCACGTTTCATAATCTTTAAGAAAGTGACTCCTCCTTGGATCATCCAGTGAGATTTCTTGTCACAGATAAATCAACAGGAAGCATTACTCACCATCTGCAACCTCACCTACCATCTGCCACACCATGGTTACTTCAACACCTAAAAATCCATATGACACTCTTAACTCAGGTCTGTCCAAAATTATCAGCCTCCTGTAGTTGGAGAGTCATCAAATCTCAGCTCTTTTATTTGTTGCATTAAAATTCCAGCAGTTGCTGTCAGGCAGCTGCAAACCCTGACACTTAGTTCCTTCTCCTGGTGAGCAAACACAATAGGCCCTCCTTGTGCCATCTTGAACATGACAGCAGTATCATTTTGGAACAATTAACAGTGTCTGTCTCTAACCAGAAGCATTCAGCTGCTGTAGCTAACATCTAGCAATACTGAGAAGAAAGCAGGGAGTTGAGACTGGGGACTCATAATGTATGTAAAATATATCCCTTCCTTTCCAACAGTTGTGACAGATGCAGAATTTGGTGCCAATGCTACATTTAGGTCCATCTCCAGAAACTCATAATCAGCTGGGAAATTTCAGTTTTCCTAGAAAAAGAGTATTCTAAATATAGCTCAGGCATCTGCCAACAGAAATCCCAGG